CAACGAGAGAAAGGGGGCCCTACCCGCTAAAAACCTGACGATGCCCCTCACCTCACCGATGGGCTGTCACCTCGTCGGGCGCAAGGTACACCATTCCACATCCTGTAATGGCAAATCCACACAGACTGTAGATCACCTTATACACCACTGCGACAGATTCAATTCTTGACGCAAAGAACATAAATATATCTGCGAAACACTCAATGTCTCCCCATTTGACCTGATGGAGGTGACTTAAAAAGAAACATCAAAACTATCTTTTATTAAATTCATTACACATATTGTCAGTAACCTTAAAAATTTCAATAAATAACAATAGTCTATCTCATACCATTAAATAAAGTACAATTAGAAAACATAACAGCGAAACACAAAACATTTAGCAATAAAAACTTTGTCTGTATCAAATCGCAGACTATCAAACAAAACAGCTGAATCAAATACTCGATAAAAAAAAAGTTTAACGTTCTTGTAATTTTAAATATATAAGTTTTTCATCAAACAAGAATGTTATGAAATCAGCACTTATGAATGAGAAATTAAAAAATAATAATAATAAACATTTATTTCAGACTTTAAATCCATATAAAAGTGTTAGTAACAGACGAAATCTTTTTCTAGTGTTAGTAAATGAAAAAAGTACAATCGAACACAAATAACAATAAATACATTCGGATTCCGATGGGACTCGTCTGTTATTTATAAATAATTATAATGATAGACTGGCGAATGTAGCTTAAGCCAGTGTCGCAATAGTGGGGAGTCCCATCGGTCAGCCAGTGTGCTCAGGACACTGTTGGAGCTGTCGCGAACGCGCGCCCACAGTGAGGCGCAGCGCTTTCTAATGATCGCGTAAAAGCAATCAATACGCGCCTCGGCAAACATAGACGACGCACTGCAATAACGCGGCAGACTGAACAACATCCTGAACGTGTTATTATATTGGACTCGCAGTGCGCTGTATGTCCGCTGCGTAAAGTTCACCCAAAGACCGCACGTGTAGAACGACTGACAATAAGCTTTGAAAAGCGTCAGTTTGACTCGTTTACTACACTGTGCAAATCTGCGCACCAACATGTTACAGCGGACACACAACGCCCTACGTTCCCTCTCCATATCTATTGAGTCCGACAAGTTGTCAGTGACCCAATGGCCCAAATACTTGAATTTGTCAACTTTTTTAAGTTCAGTGCCCCCGAGTGTAACGGAAGGTACACTGCGCTGACACCCTGCCGTCCCAGCTCGAAATACCATGAACTCACTTTTAAGACAGTTGTATTTGAGCCCATGAACCTCTGCATATTTTTCAGACATATGAAGCAGCTTCCTCAATGCACCAATCGATGGGCTCAGCAGTACCATATCATCGGCGTAACTAATATTATTAATACAAACACCACCGACGTAGCATCCAATATAGGTACTGCTGAGATCCTCGATTAGACTGTTCATGTACAGGTATAATAACTTAATAATAACTTACGTTTTATTCTGTGCGTAGTCAGAATATTAGGATATTCTCAGTCGATCCCGCTTCTGAAACTACCTAGTCAGGTCATAAATTCTGTCATATGTTTAATATAAAATAATTATAACAAGTTTATTCATTATATAACCATTTATATACCAAAATGAACTTATCAAAACATAGATTCTTATGACAATAAAGTTTATTCAAAATGACCTCCGTGATTTTGAATACAGGCCTTCAATCTGCGAGGCCAGTGACTCCAAATTGGGATGAGGCTTTGAGCACGCCTTTTCCTCCAAGTGTTGCCATATCTAGTAATCTAACGGACTCAAATCTGGACTGTCAGTCTACGTGCCGGATGAAGTCGATTTCACGTGCCGTCAGCCAGTCTTCTGTGCTCTTCGCTCTATGAGCTGGCGCCGAATCTTGTTGGAATACCTAGTGCCTCTTATTGAACATGGTATGAGAAACAGGTTCCACAAAGTTCGTCAGGTTGATAAACAACTGCATTCGTTTTTACACCTTTCTCACAAAAATGTACCTCTGTTAAGCCCCAATTAGAAACTCCCAACCATACAATGAGCGAGGATGGAAAATGACCTCGTTGGACACGCGGAATACGGTTGCTCGCTTCTTCACTACTGTGTGCGTACACCTTATCATTTTGTTTGTTGTAGCTCCCTTAATTGCGTCGTGTCGCTGCTAAACAAAAACATTTAGCAGCAACACGACGTTATTATTGTGGACCACTATTCACGACGAAGGCTCTCGACTTAATGCCGTATTTACGAGTGCACCACGCGCTAGTCCGTCCCCTCTTCACGTCACATGATAAGGTGGTGGGGAGGTCAGGCAAGGTGGCGTGATTTAGCATAGACAAACTGAGATAAAAATAATGACTGTACTACTGACCGATCTGTAAATAAAAATGCTAATATTATTAAAAAATGCTAACAATAGTAAGTCAAACTTAAAAAATGGTATGCCCATATATGCTGTCGCGCTTTGTTATAGAAATTTTAAAAGGGGAACAATTCCGTAATACATTTTTTTTGTGTAACTGTAAACGTTTATAACAAATGTCAAATATCTTATACTGGCTGCTTTTACAGACGCAGCGACATTTTGCCGTGTAATGGCGTTATGCATATCAAAGTAATGTCTAAAATGGCAGCTACCGAAATCGGAAATGAGATACATCCAAACGACTGCACTTACTTGGACAATTATTTTTTATTTGTCTTTGTTAGTGTCAGAACAACATTTGTTTACTTATATAAAAATCTAATAAAGTCAAACAGAAAAAAAAAACTATAAGTTATGATGTTAGCCGGGTAAGCTATAGTCTATTCACTTTGGCTTGAGAAAATGTAAACAAAGAATCTGAGGTTCTAAAACTTTTATAATGTCAAAAAGTACCTACTAGTCAATGATTAGGTATAATTTATGTAACCTATATTAACATTATAATGAATTCTGTCTTGATTATTAATATAATAAAAAAATGTGGATTTCAAATGAAACCAGCATAATACTTTGCTTTACTTAATATTTATTCACTGTCTTACGACTCACTGGATAAACTGCCATCAACTTTAATAATAAATTTATCCACAACATCATCAACAATATCATCCAATTTTAGCATTTTCTGCCCTTCTTTTATGACATGGTCAATGAACCGTTTTCACGATTCAGCTGTGATTGATTGTAAGGCATCGGCTAAAAGATTTTTAATTTCAGTCATCTTAAATGTTTTATTATTTTTACCAACATATCCCTTGACTTGTGCCCATATGCAGTACAATCAGACGCTTCCCTTTTCCACTTGGGTTTTTCAATCCTATTGACAATCCCTCTCGATGAGCTTCTTTCACAGTTTTAATTGTATGATCTTGCCAAATTTTGTTCATAGTGTGTCCTGTAACAAATATAAGTTCATTAACAACATATGAAAAATAAAAACAATAATAATTTAATACAATTAGTAACATGACACAACATACTTGAGTGGCATTTTCACAGGATAAAGACATGGTATGAAAATAATAAGTATCATTCAATATTTATAAAAATATTATAGTAAAAATAAGTGAATAGAAATTGATATATTTTAGTTCTGTGATGATAAACAATAAAAAATATGAATATAGTTTATCAGTTTATGAATATAAAAGGAAATATAATTTCATTCAGAAGTAAATTTCCCACAGAATAAAGTAGTTTAATATTGTATTTTACTAACCTTCATTTGGCCAAGTTTCGTCAGCGTAATAAATAGTTCTACCTTCGCTCCTGAGCTTTACAATATTATTTAAATATTAGATGCGCCATAAAACAATGTCATCTCATTCTTTCGGCTTCTTTTCGCATATTTAAATTGTAATGATTTTATCAACTTGAAAAAAGAGGTCCTCTTAAAGTTGGGCAAAGTTTCATCTGTATTCACAGCATGCAATACTTTGTCAACGGTGGGCATCTCCTTATTAAAAAAAATGTGTGGACTTTGCGGCGTATCGCAGTATTATCCATATCGTCCAATGTATCCATCAAAGATACTTTAAATGGTGAAGGCGGAGGTGATGAGATACGACCACGGCCAGTACTTTTCTTTTCCTTCACCAACCGGTAAACAGTAGCTTGTGATATGCCCAGTATTTCGGCGGATTTATTGATTATATCACTTTTATATGGATAGGAATCTTTTGGCCGGGTTTCTTCAACATGTTTAAAAACATTTATCACGAGCTCCTTTTTGTTGGAGCTCAATGGACCACTCTTTGTACGCTTTTTCTTTGGCGAAGAAAATGTACAAGAGCTGCTTGGTCCCGGTTCACCACTCATAAGTATAGCTACTAAAACGTCAATTCTACAAGAAAACAATCACAAATAACTTTAAACTTAATGTAAAAAAAATAACAACAAACTCAACAAATAAAACAAGGAAATAACAAGAATTTAACAAATAAGATTGAATAAGCACGCTCGCGTCAACAGGTTGATCGGGAGAGTAAAGATGGCTGACTTAAACCAACCGATTACAAAACACAACACTTCAACGTAAAATACTTATATCATGTCTACTTTTAAATTTTGTCGTATTATAATACGTCTTAAGTTTGGGAATGATTATGTTTATAGGTCTTTTTCCATGTCAACTTAAGTTGTTAAATTAATTTTACCAGCAAATTAAAAATATACGAATTTATGATGTGAATATACATTGAATATAATGTAAAATATTTTATTTTCTTATTCATATGTATGTAACAGGTTTTAAAATAATTAACTTTAATTTTCGCTGCATTTCCTATATAAATAGTATTTAATATTTACTTTTGTCAAACGTGACCTTAAAAAGTATCCATTTTATGGTTTGTTTACATTTTTTCTCACGCCAAAGTGAATGGACTATAGTTTGTTTGTTTTTTTATTATAAGTAGATGTTGTACCATCGTAATCAACACAGATTTATAATTCCCTTTTTTATTAAAGATACTATTTTTATTTATTTTATGATTTACAAGAATCAGTAATCGTCACAGGATAGGCTGGATGGATCCTTTTCGCATATGAAAGCGATTCTTTTATCGCACCACAGTTCACCGATTAAACCGGCTCTGTAGATGGTACCGCAGAACTCTCCCGGATCCAGATTGGTTGGCTCACCAGTATAATATTTTTCGTAACCAGCCTCTTTTAAAATTTGTCCTGTAACAAAAACAAATTTGGAAACTTTGGAATCAAAAATTTATCTTAGGTCAAATATTATCCAGATGTATAATATCTATCTGCCGATTATAATTTTAATGCTGATATAGAACTCATTTACTTTTTTAAAGTATTCAAAGCAAAGATTTGCGTGTGAAGTATCAAAAACAATTTTGCCTTTGGGACCTTTTCGGTACTACCATAAATAATATTTTTTAGAACCTTATTTTGTTATGAAATTACATTTTGCAAGAATTTAAGCCCCATGGTGTAAATACGTGATTACATACATTTTATCTAAAATTTTGTTAAAAGTTTGGGATCTGCACAATGGACTGGTTTTAGTTGAGTCTAACAGTTTTACTAAAACAACAAAGACGAATTCATCGAATTCAATCCCACTACAACAATATCCCAATTAACTTTGACTGGTGATTTCGACTCTTTCAGTTGCCGTAAAAGACCGAGCGTTTCAAATTGATAATTTCATCCCAACCAAATTACATTTCATTTTGTAAAAAAATGGTTATGTGCTATTCTTGCGATTGAAGTGTAACCTACAAAAATGTGAACACATAAAAGTCCTTCATGGCTAGGCACGTCTTAAAGACAACACCTGTACTAAAATTCAACTCTCTAGACCAAAATTATTATTTTATACTTAAATTGTTTCGCAAAATAAATAATACCTAAATAAAACATAAAAATGAAAATGTGCGTTATGTTTAAAGACATTAATAAACTTATCGCTTTAAGTGAAACATTAATACACTATTTAAGTTATATTTTTCACAAATAGAAATGAACTTTAGCCACCAAGTTTCATAACTGTACTTGCGATAGCACGCTTTATCTAATTTCAAGATAGATGGCGGCACTAAAACGAATTAAAAAACAAATTATTTATATATTCTACAAAGATTAGATAAAAGCTATGTAGTGGTTAACGAGCAAGAAATAAACTGTAGTAAACATATCAGACGATATCCCTTAAATAAATATTGTACAACATCATACATATACCAGGTCACTCCCAGTTGCTAAGCGATGCCATCTATGCTGCCTTTTCTAAGGCATTTAACAAAGTTAGTCACAAAAAAATAGTAAACAAGCTCTCAAAACACGGATTCACCGGTTCTTTTTTGATGCGATTGCATACATATTTAACTAATCGGTCTCAATATGTGGTTGTGAAGGGTTTCCGTTCAGATCAATATTCATCCACATCAGGTATACCTCAGGGGTTTCACATAAAACCATTGTTCTTCCTTTTTTCATTAATGACATTGAAGATGTAATTAACCCTAGATCACTAACCTTATTTTTACCAAGGAATTTAAGTGAGTGATTATCAAGGAAGTAAAAGGGTATTATATATATATATATATATATTTATATAAATAGTATACATTGTTTGTTTTTATTAATAATTTCAAGTATATATAAAACTAGTTTTTACGGGTTAATTCACGAAACTTTATTTATTTATTGACGTTTCGTAGCCTTTACAGGCTACGTCGTCGGAATCAATTTTTTTTTCTCGTCTCACAATTTTGAGTCACAATATAAAGTAAATAATACTAGTATTTTAATAATGCACTTATATTTTCATCCTGAATATTAAAATGTAAAAGCGGTATCGTTTTGATTTACTTAAAGAACAGACGCATATATAAATAATTGACAAATATACGACGACGTCGAACCTAGATATTCACTAAAACACGCAAACCAATCGTTCAATAAGTTTTGTTATTAAACGAAATATACTTTACTATATTGCCAAATACAGTTACCAGCTAGAGTTATTTTTTGAGTCATGACGATAAAAAAATATTAATGCTACAAATTAAGCCTTATAGATCTTTAACAGTTTCCAAGAATATGATCATTCAATTGATCAATTGATTTTGATAAGGCTCTATGAATCATCTTGACTCGCCTGCCGCTGGAGTGGACGTGTTACTGTTGTTGTGTTGTTAAAATATTCAATCGATATTCAAAATACATATATAACATTCAAATGGAATTGAATAACGCCCTCAAAGCGATTTAACGTATTACAACATGAAATTAAAATACAGCAACAGCAGGAGAGGATGTCAAATTTAGAGGTGTCCGGTATTTCCGAAATAAAAAAAGAAAACATCGCTAAGCACGCAGGGGTAGGTAGACCTTTCATCGGATGACATTGTGCATGCAACAAGAGTCCAACCTCATCTCACCAGTTCAAGGTCGCCCCAAAAATATCGTGGTGAAACTCAGCAACAGGAATGTTAAGGATAACATCATCGCTGGATTTCGTAAAACAAAAGGAGTGTCCACGATAGACATTCTCATCAAACAATCTCTCTTATTAAACATTATCAAACATCATCAAACAACATCAATCATCAAACAACATCAAACATCATCATCTCTCTCATCAAACATCATTCTCACCAAACAAGATGCGAATCTTTAATTCTTTAGTCACCCATCCCATTACCGAACATTGCCAAAGATTTATTGTGAGATAAAAAAATATTACCTTCAATAGTCCTAAAATCACTGCGTTCAGTCCAAGCGTTGAAGCCAATGTATGCATTAGACTCATATTCGCCTCCAATGATCGAACCAGCTGGATTCTTTTCAAATATCTCTTTGAGAACTTTGGCTTCGATATCAGAGTTGATGATTGCTAAGTGTGCTCCTTCTGCCATACAGTTCATATACGCACGGGACCAAGTCCTGGCCAAACGGTGGAACTTGTAACATTTGCCAGTTCTGGCGTCGAATGTATACTCTGTACAAGAGAAGCAGTATTAGGTAATGCTGATGCCAATAATGTTGTTGAAGAAACTTAGCTCTCTATAGAAATATAATTGAAATAATAATAAAGAACACTTGGTAGAAATTAATTTACCATCCACAATATCAATATATCAATAGTGTCTCCACTGTTAGATCACGCGCTTTCCCCATGTATAAGATAGAAAAGAAAGGTCAGGTCATCATCTATCCCATGGGCCTAGAGAGGATGACTGATTGCCAATTTAAAATGTCACGCGGTCTAAGCATCGGACGGGATTCGAACCCGCACCTTGTGTGATCTGGGGGAAATTAATTCCAGGCAAATTTTCTTGTTGTCAAAGTTAAATGTCGCAGTGGAAAGCATAAATTTTATAATAAAATAAACTTTAAACATGTTAATCGTAAGAGGCAAGTGCCTAATAGAAATAATATTAAGCTGTCAATTTTTTATTTACAACTAGCGGCCGCCCGCGACTTTGTACGCGTAGAGTTAGTTATTTGCACACTTTTTAACCCCAATAGGGAGTTTAATTCTAAAGATACATTATTAGTACTATCTATACCATCTATACAGCATACATGTTAAATTTCAAGTCTCTTACTTCAAAAACATAGGACTTTCATACAAACTTCCAACCCCCGTATTACCCCCTTAGGGGTAGAGTTTCGTAAAATTCGTTCTTAGCAGATATCTACACCCTATAAGGAACCTACCAGCCAAATTTAAAGTTTGTAGATGTTATAGTTTCTGAGATTTCGTGATTACCCAGTGAGTGGTATTTCACTACGTCGTCTGCGGGCACGCTATACAGTACCAAAAATACCTACGATTATACCTTTTAAAATAGCATTCATTTACCCGTTTCTTCTTTACATTTCATATCTACAGAAAGTGCAGTAAAAGAGGGAGACCGTCTTTTGTGAAATTTACCTTCAAAAAGTGATGATTTTCATCCTGCTTTGAATAAATGATATTATGGTGATTCTGTTAAATTAAGTCATAATTTATGACTGAAACAGATGGAGAAAATAATGAATAAGGAATACAGAATCTGGCTGAAATGAACAGGGAGGAGTCCCACATACCTTCTTCTCGCTCCCCCAGTGGTTGAAGGATGCGCAAAGCATTTCCCAGACACAAAAAAAAAAAAAAAAAAAAAAAGGTTGAAAATACATACTTATAGGACTTCCCGATAAACAACATAGGTGGTTTGGCTAGTCATTTCTTCGTCATCTTGTTCAACGACAGTGTAAGAGATGTAAACCACTTCATTCCCCTCAATTTCCGAGAGAATGCATTCGTTAATTGCTGCAGCCTGATCATTTTTGGGCGTCATAATGGCCCGCTAACACACTCCAGAATTCTGCTGGTGCGGTATACGACTGATGTCCCCGTACACAGAGATGTGTTCTTTTAAGTTGGATACAACTGTACCGAGAGACTTTGGAAGCACCGCCTGTCCACCTCTCTACTCTGGTAGAGTGACTTAGCTAAGACTTAGAAGGACAGAACTGTCCAAACCCATCAAACGTTCGTTCGTGCGGACGTCCTGCAGGGTTCTACCACGGCCTCAACTGCCTTCCTATTGGCCATCGTACACTCATCCCATATGATTAGAGAGCAATCCTTGAGCACGTGTCCCGTGTTACGTGGTAACACACCACAAACAGGTGTTTCGGCGCTCTTTAAATCGATGGGAATTTTAAACATGGCATGTGCTGTCTTGCCACCCGGAAGCAGTGTGGCAGCGATTCCCGATGACGCTACAGCAATGGCAATTTTGCCTTGCCTCCTGACCTCTGCAAGTATGCCAGTGGCAACAAATGTTTTTCCTGTTCACCAGGAGCATCCAAGAAAAACATTTTACCCTAGTTTTGGTGAACACTTTCAAGGACGGTGTCATGAATTTGTTTTTGCTCTGAAGAGAACAAAGCGACATGGTCGTTTCGTATGGTGGTCATTTCGCCCGGATCGTGAATTGTCTCATCGTTATACTCCTGATTTCCACAGTCTTGATGCGGTGATGATTGGGGAGCTTATAGCCCATATTCGACTAGTGGATTGCCGCCGATATGTTTATTATTGATTACACGTAGTTACGGAATGCTTTGAAGAAATCAAGGTTCACTGCTCGTTCCCCGTAGGTGATAGCGTGATCTACAATCGATACCGATGCTAAAAAAATTGTTTTTAGAATTTTTGTCTCTTTGTCTGTATGTATGTCCGGGATAAACTCAAAAAGTACTACATGGATTTACTTCAAATTTGGCAAGAATATTGTTAAGAAGTTAGGTCAACATATAGGCTACATATTATCACGCTATCACCTACGGGGAACGAGCAGTGAACCTTTATTTCTTCAACGCATTCTGTAACAACATGTAATCTGGTGACGTATATTTGAATGTTGTTATTATGTTAACCATATCAGTGGCAATCCACTTGTCAAATATAGATTACCAGCTTCCCAATCATCACCGCATCAAGACCGTGGAAATCGGGAGTATAACGCTGAGACAATTTACAATCCGGGCGAAATGACCATCATCCGAAATAACCATGTCACTTTGTTCTCTTCAGAGCAAAAACAAATTTATGACACCGTCCTTGAAAGCGTTCACCAAAACCAGGGTAAAAAAAAACTTGGATGCTCTTGGTGGAACAGGAAAAGTATTTGTTACTACTGGCATACTTGCAGAGGTCAGGAGGCAAGGCAACATTGCCATTGCTCTAGCGTCGTCGGGAATCGCTGCCACACTGCTTCCAAGTGGCCAGACAGCACATGCCATGTTTAAATTTCCCATCGATTTAGAGATCGCTGAAACGCCTGTTAGTGATGTGTTACCACGTAACACGGGACACGTGCTCAAGGATTGCTCTCTGATCGTATGGATGAGTGTACGATGGCCAATAGGAAGGCAGTTGAGGCCGTGGACAGTAGGATGTAGGATATCCGCAGGAACGAACATTTGATGGGTGGTGTCACAGTTCTGTTCAGTGGCCATTTCCGACAAACGCTTCCCGTGGTGACGCGGAGATCGAGGGCTGCCGAGGTGATTGCTTCGTTGAAACAATCTTCGTTGTGGTCACGAGTTAGTACGCTGCGCTTGACCATTATTATGAGAGTTCAGCTCAGCGGCAATGCACGTGCTCAAGAATTCTCCGATGTCCTTCTAAGTCTTGGCGAAGGCACTTTACCAAAGGAGAGAGGTGGACAGGTGGTGCTTCCAGAGTCTTTCGATAGAGTTGTATCAAGCTTAGAAGAACTCATTCGCTCTGTGTACGGGGACATCAGTCGTATACCGCACCAGCAGAATTCTTGGGTGTGTGAGCGGGCCATTTTGACGCCTAAAAATGATCAGGCTGCAGCAATTAAGTTGATAAAAAAATGCCATGCAATAGTTTTACCGCGGCAGTCCCCGAGTGCCACACGTGTTTTTTTATCAGATAATAAAGAGTATTGGACATGTATTTTTTCTTTGCTCACGTTATTAAAACATTACGTAGATATATTGATTTGAAATGTCGCCTGACGTCACGTCTGGGTTCAATTTACACTTTGAAGTGACGTCACGGACCCCCACTGCCTAACTTCGACGCGCTTTATTTTATCATTTTTTGGTTGGTTGACAAATGAAAAAATAGTTGTCCATTATTTTTTATCAATCTAACTGACGATGTTCATAGAATTTGGTTTCCTTTACTCGGTCCCTATTATTTTACGCAGAATTAAATGATGTGAAAGAAAGACAACCGGATGGAGCAACATACCAGGATCTATGGTGCCACAATTATTGATGACTGTCGGCGTTTTTTTCTTGTAACAGAAATAACTGAACGTATCTGAGCATTTAGCATCGGCCATATTCCCATCGGGGAATAAGATCAGACAATTTTCATTATCCTGATAGTTATCAGGTTCGTCATTCGCCCATGTATGAGGTATTTTCGATAATGGTACACCTGCGAAAATACAAATATTTACATTTTACACGTAAATGGCTGATTTGAAATATAATTTAACAAGTTGACGAATACCAATTACATATATCAGTATTCTTGTCATGACAATAAATAAAAAAAAATAGTTTAAAAAACTAAAAACACGCTTTATTTACTGCACTAAAAAGCCAACAATAAACAAAATATACTCTCTGTTTACTTCATTAGGGCATTAGAGTAAGCCACGGTTATAGTTATAGTAACCCACACCGGTGCAGAGTCGAAGAGTCGCGTCGCGTCATGTTTTTTGCCATTGGGATACCTTAACAGTGGGAAATTAGAGATGAATTTGCTATAGACGAAAAACATTAAAACTTGGTATTATGAAGTCGCGCATTGCAAAGTAGAAATGAATTTGGTACAGGCGAAGCGCGGTGCGTGGCATCTCTTCGACACTGCGCCAATGTGAGTTGAACCTACTAGTCGTTAGGTACCTTGTTATGGGTGATCAATCCACACCATTACCGTAATTCATAGAATGTCACAGTGCCCTTAAGGCAATCCATTTTTCGATAATTGAAAATAATACTTGTCACTTTCGATTGGTGTTTATTGATATTCTAAGCATCTCTTAGTATTTCGAGATATCAGCAGACCACTTCAAATAATATAAACATTCCCAGGAACGAAGCCCTCGGGAGTGACGTCACATAATCTTGCCCCGTAAATAGCAAAGGCACAATGATCCCACAACTCATTCGCCTCCCGCATCGAGCGAAGGTTCACTTGGTCTATCGTAGACTATTTAATTTAATTAAATATAAATATATAAATAAGTTAAATACTGTTATTACAAGTAAACTTTATATTTTTTAATAAGCTCCATTACCGAAACCTGACTACCTATATAATTGAGTTTCTTTATCAGGGGCAATGAGAGGTAATTTTTATTGGATAATATCATCATCAAAAATCATCAGCCTATTAATGTCCCCACTGCTGGGGCATAGGCCTTCCCTATAGATGGAATAGTTAGATTGGGCCGTGACCCACCACGCGGGCCCAGTGCGGATTGGTGGGGGCTAACGACTGCAAGTGCAGCCGGGACCAACGGCTTAACGTGCCTTCCGAAGCACGGAGGAGCTCGAGATAGTAAATTTTTGGTCACTCATGCAATGACCGAACACTGCGAAAGTTGCTTAACTTCAACGACCGCAGCCGAACGCGCTAACCACTTGCGCCATCGAGCTCCTCTTTGCTAGGAATGCGGCAATTGATTAATGCTCTTCTCAAATAAGTGAATTCGATGGAATCCAAATAATTCATAATAGACTTTTATACTGCTCCTTGAATATTGAACAGGGATGATGACGGGGTAAGTTTAAATAAATTCTATTTAGTCCCTTACCTTCTATAGAAGCATAATCTCCTTTCGAAAATGTAGCGTGTATGCCCGTAAACACAGCACAATTTGTTTTACTATAGTTCATCATCGTTGTCATTGCGTCTTGAAGGTTTTTGTTTAGCGGTGAAGCTAAATATGCACCTAGTTAGAAGAAAACAGGTATCAAAGTATTGTACTGAACATATATACAAAACCTTAATATTATGTAGTAAGAAACACCATATTTTGGAATTGTTCTCACCTTCCATATGACATCTCAATCGGGCATCGTTCCAATTTGAAGGGATCTCGTGGTATTTTAACCACCCTTCCACGTTTGGAACGTATGTGTAATCACATCGAAACTGATGCGGGGCACCTGCAATACGCCATAGGCTATGGTAATATTAGTAGTTTCAAAACAATAACGATTCTAATAATTGAAAAACTAACTCCAGAGTAACCGGCAACCTCAAACATAAGCCGAAGACTAGATTGTTGTAAGGAGCGGGACACACTGATAAGACGTAAGGCGGGGCGCGGACATGTCTGTTTCATACAAAACTTAGAAAACGAATGATAAAAAGTTAAGCGACTTCAATTGAACTGAAAATGGAAAAATAAGATTAACCGACAGATTTTTTCCCCAACACACACCAATTATCCTAGCTCTAAAATAAGTAACTGTAAAGCTTGTGTTATGGGATACTAGGGTAACGGATAGAACACTTAAGCAGTACATATATACAGGGCGTCCCACGGCTACCTCACACGGAGGGAAAGTATATTAAATATTGAAGATAGGATATTTTACTGAAAGGAGACATCATTTTATTTTTAACTAGCTTTTGCCCGCGACTTCGTCCACGTTATCGTCGTTTTTCGTAAAAAAGTAGCATATGTCCTTCCTCAGGGTTCCGTGGTTTTGATGTGACAAACAGATTAACTTTCGTATTTTAGTAGGGAAATATAATACTGTTAAAAATATCGCAATAAGGAACCGCAGAATATTATTATTATCACTGTGCCCCGAGACCATCAGCGTGTAACTCCTTGTATGTTATTATGTTTAATGTATTGGTAATATTGTTTAGATCGCTTTCACATGAGTCTTAAGTACATATAGAATGAAAATACTTCAGCGCAAAGCTTCCGGGTAGACAACGTTGAAATTTGACCCGTCCGGAACGTGAACATAAAAAATTCTAGGATTGCTAACCCGGGAAAGACCGACATAACTGGCCATGTGAAAAACAACTGACACCGAGATCTACTCCAACAACACGAAAGGCCTGCCCTTGAGCCTTATTATTGTCATTGCATAACACACCGATACTGGGAATTGCGTTCTTTTAAATTGGAATGGAAAATTATTTGGTATTATGGGAATTCTGGGAATAAAGATGGTTTCTCCTGCACCGCAACCTATTAAAATTTGAGCCTCGATTACATTTTGTTGCAACTGGGTTACTTTAAGCCGAGTTCCATTGCAAATTTGTGGTGGTCTTAAATTTCGGAGCAGAATAATCGGAATGCCAATTTTCAAACAAATTTCATGAGAAGGAAGTACGGGCATATTTAAAGAATTTAAAAATTCTATCGGGTAAATAGTGGCTTCTTGTTCATCGGCCATTCTATTTATTGAACTATAAACTTTGCTTTCCCCCTGGATATTCGACAGTATTTTATTATTAATCTCAGATGCCTGGTCATTGCGAAGAGTTAAAATGGACCTTTCGCGTAGCCAAGAATTGTCCTTATTTAATATATATTTGTTACGTCACCGTAAACTGACGATGTAAGATGTTGTTGGGATTGCACTATACAACATAACTCAGGCGTCAGAATAAGTTTTCCTTGGTGTAGCAGTGGATAGGTATCTTTGGTGAAGGTATTTTCTTTAATAATATATCAGAAAATTCACGATCATCCGGGTTATCTACAGTTCTCACTCGCATGTTTATAGTCAAATGCACCGATTGTATATCACGCCACAAATAAGAGCTTTTCAGGCAAGCCCTAACCTCATCAGCTCGGGTTCCCCGTGGTATTACCGGTAAGGTTTGTCGGAAATCACCACAAAATAAAACTGTGATACCGCCCATGGGTCGATCATTTTGTCTTATATCTCTTAAAGTTCTGTCTACCGCTTCTACTGCTTTTCGATGGGCCATCGTACATTCATCCTATATGATTAAATTACACTTTGAACGAATATTTAAACACTACCAAAACAACTAATACGTGGTCCTAACTTTAGCTACCTTACACATAAAATCTAAGTGACTATTTGAACTAAAATATTCTTATAGAATTATAACCAGAAATATATACAACTCACAACAAAAAAGAAATGAAAATAAAGCTGAAACGCCTGTGCAATACTATCTACCTATACCTCCTTCACTTAAAAATAAATACTTATAACTACTTTAATTAATAAAAGTACCTACGCTTAATAATTTTTAATTTGAACGAATATTTAAACACTACCAAAACAACTAATACCTGTTTTACAAAATAACAACAAAAGATATTCAAATAAACTATTTAAAGACTAAAAGTCGCGCTGATAAGCACGGTTTCGGTCTCCCAAGCGGGGGAGCAGATGAGAAATCCTCATGGATACCCAAAGCCGGCTGCAAGGTTATGTCAGACTCGTACTGACTAAAAAATACC